AAAGGCGGTGCCCTTAGAATCTTGAGGAATGATGTCTTTGTTGGACAAAATCGAACCATTTTTTTACAAAGAGACTTATATGACATGTCTGCCTATTTCGACAATTTAAAAAACGTTTTTCTGACATCGATAAGCATCGTCGTCCTTTGTCGTTAAAGATCGGACAGAATGACGAAAATCAACTATTTATCATAGGTCTTCTTTAATATTTTAAACAGTTCGGCCCACAAGATTTTGTTTGAGTCATAAGACTTAAGGTCTTTTCTTTATTCAACTAATTTTTCTATCGTGAACAAAGCAGAATACTCAAGTCTATAATTGCAAGAACAGCTGATGTCAACACATTGAATAACACATGGGATCGCATGGTAACAAAATCTTCGAAATCTTGCATGGAAACAGAGTAAGATCAGAATAAAATTATAATAATAACATACAATTTGTTTAGATTAAAGCAAAAACAAAAACTGCATTTAATGGGGAACTTGCTCAGCATTATGAATAACTTTTTCGAATTTTACTCCTAACATATAGTATATATATAGTATTATTTTTGATAATAAAAATGTGTGAATAAATAACAATTCCATATCGTACAACGTAAAATATTGTTAACATTTGCGAAAACTGCAAAAATATATTTTTTTTAAAAAAATAATAAGAATAACACACAAATGAAATAAAATGACAAAAACAATTATACGAACAAACTGTTTACATATTTCAAATTATTTGCATCACGGTTGTTGGTCATTTGCATCACAAATGCTACGTATATGAAATCAACAATGAGATTGTAAAAATATAATAAAAAAAGCAGAAATTCAATATTTTTTAATTTTAATTATAATTTTCCGATAAAATTATTTATTTTCTTAGCATTGGCCGTAAACGCAGTCAGCATTTTTTTCAAAGTTACTCATACGCCCCAGCACACATATGGTTACGATTTCACAAGAATTATATATGTTGTCATATCATCGAAATTTATATAGTATATTTAACAAATTGCATATATTACAAAAGCACATAAGTTCTGTATTGTAAACTGTGTTTGAATATGAAAATTAAAAGCGTATTAGTTTTATTTTTAATAAACACCAACGGTAGAGATATATGAAGTGGCAGTAGGAGGCAAGAGATTTAGAGCAAGACTGCATCTTCTGTGAAAACATCAAATGAAGCAAACTGAAAAGAGGCGATTGGAGACGAGTAAAGGCCAGATGAGTAAATGTTTGGTTAGATAGCTTGAGTTATTGTGGTAGTAGGACTAGTATTTCAACTCATCTAGACCCTAGGAGTCCATTGTAATACGACAGCTTTACACGGAACCTTAACTAATTTTATTTATGAAATCATCTTAAAACCATTAAAAAACAGAGAATAGCAGAGAAGCTGGAGAAATTCGCTTTTATATTAAGAGCTAGGAAACTACAGCATACATACTATATTCCACTACTATTCGACACTACTCATAGTCTTATATTATGCCTGACAATAGTCAGTGAGCGATTATACAAATCACGCCGTAACAATTATCCGTTTTTGGAAGTTTGCTCCTTATTTTGATTTCCTGCTTCTAAGTTTCGGACACATGTCACTAGACGTACACTCATTCTGGAGCTGTTGATCTTTTGAAGGACACTATAAGATTCAAACTTGTTTTGGCTACCTGGTCGGCCTTTCAACAACAATTCTCAAATAGTTTAATTAAACTAATACGTATACTTCTTCGCGTTTAAATTATTGAAAACAAAACTTATTGTATAGTATTTCGTTATTGATAGTGTAATATCGTGTGAAAACATATTTATTACTCGTATATATTCTTTGAATTTATAATTCTTATGTAGTTTAATTACAAGTTAGACTATGTGGTATTTTCTGCGTGAAAATATCTTATCTTGTATATTAAATATACTATTATTGTACATATTCATTTATTATTTTAGCTTTTTTAAAATATTTTAAAATAAATTTTATATACCCAAATAAATAATTTTTTATAGGTATTCAGTACTACTCTCCTTACATATATAGTTAATAAATTTATTTTATTTATAACGTGACTACAGATTTTCTGCTCCTATTTTGTTACCAAAAATATAAATGAATACATAAATTAAGTTCTTTGACCCAAATTTACTTAAAGACCACAATGAATAACACAAAATTTCTTTGTCATCTTTGGTGGATTTTGAGTCAATTCCTTTGATGATGGTCGTGTGCGTATGCATGAGTAGAGGAGTGGCTCCACACGGTTTGTATTATTGCGCTGTCTTCTTAAAAATTCATGTCGCATATTATTTTTAATTTAATTATTTTTTAAAATAAAAGCACATATTTAAAAAATCATTATATATATATATAATATATTGGAATTTAAATAATTTCTTTTAAACAAATTTTGTTATTTACTTGCAATTTGCTGAAACCATTTTCCTAAATGACTATTTACGATATATAAAGTAAATAATAAATTATTTTATTAACATTAATTAAAAAATTAACTGAAGTAAAATT